TTATCATTTTAAAAACCGACATCGGTCAACTTTCCCCGCCATGAAAGCTCTTGTTTATGGTTTTCTCCAGGTAGTTTGTTTGACAGCGGGGCAGAGGAGCGCTGTGTCACCCCTAATTTACTGAATAAAATCTTTACCAACACAACATAAATGACTGGTCCTCCGTTGGGACCCAAAGGCAACCAAGCCCGTCAACTATTATCTTTTGCAGGCATGTCCCAAGTCTAGGAGCTGGGCCATTTTCTGACATATAAGAGGATAAACAATTTGACACTGCCTGTTTTTATTTGGGTGTACCGGATCACACGGGGAATCAGCCGTGTACCTAATATTTTGGCCTGTGAGTGTTTGAAGAAATCTGAAATCATAGCATCGTATTTTCTGCCAGGTAAAGACAGAATGTATAGCGTGTTTGTGAAACAGCTTCGACAATTTCAAAGCTTGCGGGCACACGCGGTGGCCATTTTGAAAATGCCATTTTCAGACCCTTTCAGACCCTTTTCGAGTACAGTCAATATAAAATGAGGAGCTGGGATTAAACGTGTGGCGTCTGAAAAGACATCTAAATACGTCTTTGGGAGTGAATCACAACATGACTTGAGTCATACTCGAGTCGCCCATTTCAGAACTTTCCACCTGCATGGGTACAGCTCAGGAAAGACTTGACCGTGCCTTGAACGACATGACAAGCTATCCTGCCGAGAGTTGGACGTTTGCATTTTCAACAGTGTGCCATTTTCTGGATCGAAAAGTGGTTTTGGTGTCATTCGCACAAACCAGAATTTGTAGTCCTGATGAGTAATGGGACTTCCTTTTTGTGTTACGATCGATATGAAGAAAAAAAAAAAAACATCCCAGGTCAACTAAAATGGTAGCTGTCGAGTCTGCGCAGATTAATGTAGCGTCGAGGGACGTGCAAAAAGAATATCTGAAATGTGGAAATGAAGAGCCTGCTTGAACTGGGATCAATTGAAAATGTCATACAGCACCATAGATACTTCACTTTTGTTTATCATCTTTCACATTCGTTTCTGGAACATATGAGCCCATAATTGCAATTGTTCCAAGACAAACGTTTCAAACTCGCGATGAAGCCGCACTTGGAGTCAACGCGTTAGTCTTGGATTCAAATTAATTGCTCGAATGTCAAATCTAATTTGGATCGAGTCGACGGCGTCTTGCGTTGGTTTGAGACAGAGTTGCGGTGGTGCTCGCCCTTGTTGATTAACGGCCAGTCAAAATCGACTACTGTACAGTGATAACAGCAACAGGCTAATTTCCCTTCATGGTCGAAGCAATGACAAAGCAGATGGAAAGAAAAACATGGACAATGAAGATACTGGATACAATTCGAGACAAATATGGAATGTACCAAAACTTTGGTGGTACATTCCGCGTGTTGAATCCATTTCCTCCCCACTGTTACTCACATCTGCTCTCATAGTCAAAAGTTCACACGTGAGATTCTGCCATGTTGGCTTTGTTCATCACCTTCACGTCATATTTCACCGACCTAATTAGTCCCATCGATAATACGACGCTAATGTCAAACAAGCATGATTCCCGTTTCACTTTGGGACCTCCGGGGCTCCCGGAGGTAAGGGGGTCCCCATCTCCCACTCACTCTCTCCGAGAGCAGATGGCCCCGGCTGGGCCGGGCGGCGTGAATGAGAAGCTATTGTCTCTGGATGTCGCGTCGCCGCTTAGCGCAGATGGCTTTTGTACCTTTTGTTTTCGCTGACTTTCTGCACGGCGACGCACCGGCTGCTGTCTGCTGCGGTGGGTGGTAGCTCGGCGCTCGCTCTCATTAGTCTCTCTCCCTGACATTTTGTGTCACTTATGGCATTACATGAAGAGAAAGCAAGAACACTTAAAAAGTCAGAAAATCGCGGCGATTACATTTTCAGACAGCTGCCAGGGCAATTTGGGAATTATTCAAACTTGACAATTTAACTGGTAACGTATAGGACGTCGACGTATATTTTTGGAGACGTGCACAAAACTGGTGATTTGTGACTCGGATTTCGATCCTGACTATTACGGTGCCGTCGTCACTGAGCGATGAAAAACAAGTTGTAAAAGCGGTTGTCGATATTTTATCAGTGCATGTGATCAAGCAACGTGCAGTGCACGTAGGGGTTGCGGCGAAAAAACGTGCCGTCAGAGCAGTTAGTCCAGCTTATCAGCTCACGTGATGGCGATATCAGGGGGTGTGGACACAAATGCTCTGGCAAGACATTGGTGGACTGTGGCAGTTGTAACCATAATTATGCCGCAAGATTAAAAAAAAAAAAAAATGAGGTCACATTGTATATAGTGGTTTGTGCGTCCGCCTACCAATGAAGAGAAATCTGTCTTTATTGGAACGTCTCTGTGTCATCCACATTAATCCTTTCAGGGACAGCGGTTACTACAGTGGACAAGCCTGTCATGTTATCAGGTTGCAGGTTATCATTATTGGTGCATGAAAGGGTTAAAAACACGCTTGGGTTCATTGCAGGGATGTCCAATACCACTTTTTTTCCCGGATCGATACTAGTACGAGTATTCACTGACACCGCTACGAAGGACCGATACCACTATTGCTTTTGACACACAACATTTCGATCAAAGCAGCGACAGGTCATTTTAAAGAGTATCCTCACAGAATATTTTTCCTTACATTTGCATGAAATGAATGACAATATTCCATTGTCTTTTTTTCCCCATTTGTTTGTAAAATACATATTTTGTGGAGAACACCAAATAAAACGCGCGTATGAGAAGAGTGACATGGACACAGTTTACTGATAGAAAAACATTCGGCCAAACATTGTTAGTTTGATGGATGGATTATTTCTCCCCCCCCACCCAATTTACGCTGACTGCTGACATTGAACACAATTTTACATTTACAGACTTTCAGAAACTCTGCAACCAATATGTCTGACTTACACACAGGTATCTACAACAGCATGGAGAGTTGGACAGATGCCACTCCAATTGTATGACAAGCACGTGTATGTGTATCTATGCGTTAGCTCCCTCTTGGTGTTGTCATCTTCAACTAACCGCAAAAAGTCGCGTCCTGGTGTCACGCCCCCCCTACCCCTCCGCTCCACTAATAGCTCATTTACTCCTCAAATCAAGTCAGATGCCTAACGAATCCGCACTTGCATGCTAACGCAGACCTTGGATGACCTCCCTTGCAAATGTGCCCGTAGCACACCGGAATGTTATCACTGCTTGATCTCGTCATGCTAGGTGGGAGTAGAGGTGGGGGTGGGGTTGGGTGCATGTGTTCCTCGGTGTCCTGGGGGGGCTTGGCGGTGCAGCGGCAGGCTTCAGAGAGTGGCTAAATCCCCACCAGAGACAGTCAGCCTGTCTGGCTGGCAGGCTGGTACTTCAACAGCGCGTATTTACAACAACCTCTGGAAGAGGGGGATCCGATTACCGCACGGGATGTATACAACGCATCAATCAGCGGGCGGACGCGTGGGCAGGAGGGGGGGAAAGAGAGGCTGTGATGGTTCGATGTTGTGGTGGTTTTATTACTGTCTGTAAACCTTCACACATACCTCTTATTAGTGTGCATCGCAAGGACGCGCGCACAAAACGCACAAGGATTTTCTTGCGGGTCCAGAGTACAATCTGGGTTTGCCGCCTCAATCTTTCCCTCGGCTCGGATCAAATGCAGCGGCCAGCGACGAAAGATGAGGTCACTATCCCACAGCTGTCCCGACCACTCAATGGGCTGCGCAGCGCGCACAGCGGGTTGTGCGTTTCTATGAGCGCAAAACGGTGCTGCTGAGGTCAAATTGGACTCTGCCTGACTTTCCCTACAAAACTCTGGGGACCCGACAGGCCACGCTGAAAGCTCTGATCCAGATCAAGTTGCCTCGTATGAGGTACAAACAAGCACGCACACACACAGGGACACGCAAAAAGCCGAGCCTGCCAAAGTGAGCTGCCGGGAACGGCATGCAGAGAGAGTGGGAAAAGTGGGGGAAGGGAGTGTGGGGGGGGGGGGTTACAGTCGGGCTATGACACATACACCATCAGACAAAAAAAAAAGTTTTAAGATCACAAAAGTGCCCAAACACTCAAGAACAAATACAGAGAGAAACTCAATATGATAAGTAAAAAACAACCCCCCCCAAAAAAATATTATGAATACGAATTTATCAGCATACAGTTCTAAATTCACAAGAATAAAGTCGGTATCTTCCAAGAATTAACAAGTTACGCATGATGAGCAAAAGATGTTGCAAGACGGAAAGGAAAAAAAAAAATTCGCAATATTTTGAGAATACATCGAAAATGAAACACGCTCATACGCATCTTTTAAGAAACACGTTAGGTTGGCATCTTAGAACTGATTGTTCTAAGATGCCAATGAAGATGTTAAAAATGTATTCACAAGTAATTAGTTCCACAGTTATTATGCACAACATTTAATACCCAAGGCAGATCTTCCAGAGTCACTCATGCAATTCTAATGCCCTAAATACTGATGAGGATCCCCCTGACCGAGTTTTATGTACCTTTAATTGAACAGTTTCAATCTCTCAAGCTCGTATATTTTTACGAACCGGTATACAAGATTCAAATCATCTCGCCGTTTTCCTCCTTTGTTGACCGCAACCGCAGTTGCGCTCATGGCGGACACGGCTGTCACCTTGATGGTCATTCTCAAGGCGGCATTGTTCTTGGCCCAAAGGTATTCGCATTGATCAAAAAACGGGCAGACAAGAGATGACGCTATCAGCAATGGAGACGCTGGTTAATCATTAGGAACACTTTTTTTTTTCTTCTTACCCTTGACCTTTGTTCGATTGCTTGAACGAGTATTTACTATTCGACCGGACGTTACGCTTCCTAAAAGTGGAAACTCCGAGACTTGAAACTGTTTGAACTTCAATTGAAAATGACTCGAATACTGAATCCAAGACAAATCGGGAACTGGACTAAAAACTGAACGTCACTCCCTTTTTTTTTTTTTAAAAGAGTGGCTTTGATAATGATAATCAAAGCAGGAAATGAAAAGGTGGTCAAGTGCAGACGTCAAGCGATTAAATGCAGCAATAAGTACACATGACGGCACCCTTAATGTAACATTTAACTACGCAGTTGATTTATTGCGGTTAACATATCAGAGGTTGAAAGCTTCCTGGAGAAGAAACATGAGTATGAATGTTGTAACTGCACGCAGCTGCAGGGAGGCTGGTTTGCACTTCGATATTCTCGGTCCTCTTTAAAAAGGCTGCAACATGGGCCAGCATTTCATAGTCGTCACGAATTTCTATTTGGATTTTCAGTGATTTAAAAAAATAAAATAAAAGAGAGAGAGAGAGAGAGAGAGAGAGAGAGAGAGAGAGAGAGAGAGAGAGAGAGAAGATCAACATGATCGTTTTTTCAGTTATGGAAGCTTGCCGCATGTATGTACAATCACAATTAAAACAAGAAATTGGGAGTATTTGGTAAAGTACCGATACGAGCCGTATTTTTTACATATCGGGTACTCACGGTGGCTGCGGGTAGCAGACATCGATACTTTATGGCAAAGAAAATCTGACCTTGAGTACGTCCTCCTCGGCAGCGGTTGGGGGGCAAAACTGCGGCAGTCTGAGACGGTGGCGAATTATCACCTGCGCCAGGAAAAAAAAATTGGGGTCAGAATGTTTTTGTTTTTTTCCCATTGTGTTAAATGAAATTTTAGATCTCAAAAGTACTATCAGTATCGGGAAATGGCCAATCAGGGGGGCTTCGGATTGACTTTATCCATGCTTACTCTGTGGCTTAGAGTCGTATTTACAAAGACATTTAGCTTTTCGGGATTACTTTAATTAGTATTTGCTCCCACTCGAATATTCCAAGAGAGGAATTTAATTCATCGTGTCACATTGCAACTACATTGGTGATATTGAAGAGCCTGAGATGACACAGATATATCAAACTGAGGAGGAAGCAATTTTGAATGCCTGAAGAGCAACCTTCGATTGATTTATTGAACAGCACAAATTGTATTCGCTTTGCAAGGTTACTCGCTTACGATAGAGAAAATGTTTGGGTTTATTTTTTGGTTTTTTTTTTAAACTTGACACCGATTAATGTACATTGAGGAGAGGAATTTAATTCACAAGAGAGTGAATAATTTCAAGTGCAACTTTACATTGCATGATGATTAAACCCATATGCTTCACAAATGGCATTTGGTGTATTATTAGTGATAATGTTACAAGTTTTTTTCCCCCTCAATACGAAAATAAGGGAAAACAAAAGAGGGTGAGATTTGCTGCGTTTTTCCTCATGTTTTCACCCGAATGCGTTTCCTCTCTGGCTGCTTTGCTTTCGGCGCTGTGCAGAGTTGGGCTGCGCGGCGGGGAGGGGTTGGAGGTCATAGCGTGGCGCTCTGTGTGGGTGTTGAGGCGCCCTTTGACCCCCTCCCCAGAACCTACTGAACAGCAGCCAGAGAGAGGGCCCAAAGGTCAGGGGGGAAACACCGAGGGAAAGAGCATTTTCTCAACGTGTTCAGCGACTCGCCGTGCCAATTTGTGCTTCTTTTCTCCGTCCATGTTTTTTTTTCTTTCTTCTCAATCTACCCTCCCATCATTGTGCTTGAACACATAATTCTTAAAGCAATAAAACGCAATAAAAAAGACGCTTTAATTCTAATTGACACCGAATATATACCAAACAGAGCCGTGAAAGGTTTCCAGGGACCCAAAGACCATGAGATTCCTTCGAGCAATTACCATCTGAATATAGACATTTTCAGCTCTTACTTGTTTATGTTCTTCCCACCCAACATATCTTGAGATCTCTGTATTTCATAATTAGTGAGATAAAATAATTATAATGGATATGACAAGTCTTGTATTGGGAGATGCCTGTATTTGGTCACGTAATTTGGCATTTAATATTTAATATAGTACCCCAAAATATATTCGTGTGGCTGTATGCCCGTTTTTTTTTTTGTCTCACACACCAGGGCCCCTTTTTCCCCTTCAATCATTCATCCCATCCTCCACCTCCTCTCTCTAATCAAGGGTCATTTGCTCAGCTTCCTGCCTGCAGCATCTGGAATGGTCCTTCCTGATTGGTTCACTCTTTCGAACATCCTGATTGGTTTAAATTCTTCGCACCGCCTCCTCCCAGCACTCACCCAAAGACTTCCTCCTTTTCTCGACCGAGCCCTCTTTCGGGGCGGGCGCCGCCTTACTCTACGCCCCCATTCGAGGGCCGCTCCTCCATTGGTTAGATAGCAAGAGTGCGCCATCTGCTGGACGGCAGCTGAACGACACCTTTTCAGGTTTGAAATCTGGATATTCGAACATACGTTGTTCATTTCTGATAATACATTTTCAACGAATGTATAAAAGACCTCTACGCCCCCATTCGAGGGCCGCTCCTCCATTGGTTACATAGCAAAAGTGCGACATCTGTTGGACGGCAGCTGAACGACACGTTTTCAGGTTTGAAATCTGGATATTCGTACATTCGTTGTTCATTTCTGATAATACATTTTTCAACGCATGAATAAAAGACCTACGATCCTAACCCAAGGTTTGAAACAAACGACAAAATAACCACATTATGTAATCAATCAATTACGATTTCACTTAAGGCTCCGAAATTGCCCGAGAATCTTCCTCTTTACCTTTATCTTATGGAGGCAGTTTGGACAATGCTGTCGTTCCTGCCTTTGTAGGAACACCCCTGAACGACCAATGGTAGCAAAAAGGAGAAACTGAACTGGAAATGGAAAGGATCTGGCTGCTCAGTACATTAAAAAGAATAGAGATTTTTGGTTGCTGTTGTTTACTGCACTTTCTATCCAATGAATACTTGCAACAGCTTCGGCTTGGAAGAAATGAATTCACTTTCCTTCGTGTATTTCCGAAAGGAAAATAGTGTTGAAATGACTTAACCATCAACTTGGGAGATTACACTGTAGTTTTATCTAAGTTGTGAACAGCGCAGGGGAAACATTGTATATATATATTAAAAAAAAAAAAGCGAGAGAGGGACTGACTGGTATCGGGTTTTAACAAAATGGACTCTTATTTGGTGTCTTGGATTTGGATGATATTGAGAGGGTTAAATATTTCAAACTGAGGCTCCATCCAATAGCATCACACCACAACACGGCACTGACAAATACTGCGAGCCTTCGACAGCATTGGGGCATCGTTCCATATATCACGTTGCGGGGCTCCTGCAGAAATGGATGCGATCATTGATAAAACTATAAGCTGCCAAAAGGATGTGATTGAATGCACCTCCGAGCTGTACACGCGGGCATGTAAAGTGCTTTGGCGATGACCCGACTGATGTCTAAAGTGAAGGGGAGTATAAACCCCGACATAAATCAGCACAAAGGGGAGATAACCGCACATTCCCACAAATCACCCAACAAATCCGAGGGTGTCCCCGCTTCTGGAAAGGAATTCTGGGAACGCTTCCAGATCCCCGACAAGTTAATAGTTGAGGGCGACCAAACGTCATACAGCACATTGAGGTTGCCTACATTTGCTGACCTGTACTGTCTGTCTATCTGCATCATATTTGGAACAATACTCAAAACCCGCCCGGTTTTGTCCACGGGCGACACGAAAATATTGAGATTTCCCAAAACAATACGCTGCATTGTAACAATTAAAGGGTGTACTTCATATCCAGGGTGATTTCTAGCAAACAGACAGGTGGGAGTGGTGCAGAGGGAAGAGGGGGAAGAGCGCAAGTAAATGACAAGATGAAAAGGCCACTTGGGAGGATGGCGCGACATGTACATTAAAAGCATTAGGAGGAGGAGGAGATAACAATGGCAGTGCAGAAGGTCTATGGGGGGTGGGGTGCCCTGAGAGCTCAGTTCGAGAACAAAGGGAGAGCTGGAGAAGCGCTCCGTGGACGCGACTATGAAAAACCGGTGGAGATGGCGCCGTAAATCTGGAAGCCCTTCGTTCCATAAGCCAAAGAAGGGTCGAAAACAGACTGGAGCTAAATGACTCGAAACACGGCCCAGAAAAAAACAAAACAGAAAAAAGCAAGTTTGGGTCGCGAAGCAGAAAGGAGGGCTCGCTATGGTAACGCGGCAAACACAAAGAACCAAATAAAAAAATTCCTAATCAACCTTGCGTCTCGCATCGCTCTCATTCTTTCTGCGTTGGATGCGAATGCGGCAACGGTGCGCGCACCCAAATAGGCAGGCATGCAGGAATGGCGAGTGAGGTCATTGCCACATCTGTGTTTTGTTAGATGTTATTCGGAGAATGGCTTGGCGAAGCTGCAGCCCCTCAACTGCCCACAAGTCAAAGATGAAAGACTGTAAACTCTCTTCATCTGTCTGCCTGACAGTCAGTCGGCAAATGCACAGCGTAAAGCTGATTGGAAAAGATTGTTTAACCGTTTAATTGTATTGTAGGAGTGATTTAATCCTTTCTTGCAATGTAAATTCAGGGGCTGTCCAGCCAAACTTCCGAACCTCCACTGTGCTGTCACCACATGAAAGAAAACGCACTGACTTCATTTGAAACAATAACTCTCAGGATGACGTAATGCAGTTCTAAACCACTGCAAACGACAAACCGCTTTTGATTCATGTAAAATTGAGGAAGATTTTCCCCCAAAATAATGAAATTATTATCTCCAACATTGTCGGCGGCCATCATTTCTGCCGAATCGATCTTCATCAGAGAACAGCGCCGAGGTCGGTGTCAAACAAATTTTTGTCACGGGCCACATTTTAGTGACCGTTTCACTTGGAGGTTTGACACCTGTGGTCTAATGTGACACTTGGGTACCTCTCACTTCCCTTATACGTGCCTGGAGTTGAGTGGCATTCAACATCCGGTTTCTCGGGGGCATTGTTTACAATGTCGCGGTCATCGGCATATTTTGTGGCCAAAGCATGTCCACTTCTACATCTTTCTGTGTCTCTCCCCCTCACACATATATACCCCCACACACACACACACACACACACACACACACACACACACACACACACACACACACACACACATATATATATATATATATATATATATAATTTTATTTATTTATTTATTTTTGCAGCCTTTGCGATTTGAAAATTGCACTGTACGGTACTACATTGCAAGGTTGATTTGTATTTGATTAATTGTTCATTCCTCCAAATACAAATGTTTTTAATTAGGAAGCTCCCCAAATGATTCTCACCCTTCAAGCAGGTCTCTCAGGTATGATCTCCCTCTATATGACGGCACATTAATAAAGGCCACCGCGTTCATTCATCAGCCCAATTAGGACATTCAAATACCGTTCTTTGATATCATCCTCGCCGGATGAGTCGTCGTTCAAGAATGCGTTGAGTTGAAATGAGGCTTCCGCATGTCATTTTTAGCGGGTGACGTGTTTCGTCAGCGGCCTTTATTAACAGAGGTCAGTGGCGGTCAGTGAGAAATTAGAGAGGTGGAATAGACATGAAGATGGTGACGGGAATCTTACTGTCACTTCTCTTGATGCTGGGAGGTTTTGACACCGAGACCGCATCCATCCCAAAGGTCAGTAGGAAATCCAGTTGCTGTGGGAAAAACCCGCAGAGGTGCAATCAGCGATGGCACACTGGAAGGATGCAGACACACAATCAGGTAAGGATATCACACGTGTCACATATTGTGTTTGTGATACGGCGCTTGTTTATTTGTGTCGTGTTAAATTATGAAAGTGCGGGAATACAACAAGTCATCATTTCCATGATGGATACATCAATTAAATCCCCTTCCTTGTAGCACAAGCCTCAAGTTTCTCTTCTTACACTAACTACATTTTCACAGTGTTCATGATTCCCTCTACTGATTCCAAGAAAACAATTTGCAATGACGGACCACAATTTCAATCTTGGCTTCATTGGCCCAGAATGCATTTTTTATCACCATATGTTCAGCAGATTTGTTTTTGTTTTTTTTCATGATTCAATGAAGTAAAGGCTGAAGTTGTTTGTGCAATGACGGACCACAATTTCAATCTTGGCTTCATCGGCCCAGAATGCATTTTTTATCACCATATGTTCGGCAGATTTTTTTTTTTTTTTATGATTCAATGAAATAAAGGCTGAAGTTGTTTACTTGACAGTTGCAACAGAAATACACAGAGACTGGAACAAGAACTGAAATTGTAATTTGAGTCTTAAGATGAACATTTTGAAACCAACCCAAATATATCTTTTTGTTTTTTTTCATGTTCACAGAAAAAAAGTGAAGCGCTGAGGAGTTTAGACTTAGAGCACTTCAAAATAGATGTGGTCCCGACCACAAGCGAAACGAGCCTTCCTGCCGCTGTTGGGCCCCACCCTCCTGATGCAAAACCCCTCCACCTGCTCAAAAACATGCCCCAACGCTTTGGTAGGCAAAGTGTTCCTGATGATGCAAAGTCAACTCCCAACAAGCCCCAAAGGTTTGGAAGATCCTGGGAGGTGATCCCAAAATGTGCCAAGTGTGTCGGAGAGATTCTGAATCCAGAAGCATGTCAAAGATGGACAAGAAACAATCTGTGTTGGAGGCTTCTTCGAACATTATCCAGAGCCAAGTTGTGGGAAACAGACTTGCAATGGTAGGAAAATCTAAAGGCTATTCATCACATTTTTCTGTTAAAAAAGAATGTTTATATACAGCACTGTCTTCAAGTTTCTCACTCGTGGAAAACATTCTGCTCATTAGTTTACAAACCCTAGCAGAATTTGTAAGAGATGCACTTTTCATGAAAGGAAACATTTATATCATCATTTATTATATGAACCAGCCAACTCAATTTAGTCTAAATAACATGTTTGAAAATATTTGGTATTAACTTAAAGGTCTGTTTGAATGTAATTTTGAATCTGTGTTCCTTTTAGCGTATATAAAACTATATACACATTAACGAATGACTCTTTCCCTAAAGGTTTGAAGAGTTTCACTTCAGCTCAAAAGAAATGGAGATGCAGATAAAAAGACTCCAAGAAATCATGTAAATCTATGCAGAGTTTTAGTGCAAGTGTAATCATTAAATCATAGCAACAGGCTCTGGGTAAAGTTATATCATTGTGATATAAATAAAGTTGATAACAGTATAAATAAAAGGTCTGAAATACATCTTTTTTTTTGCAGGCGTTGATGACTGTGGCACGATTGCAGTTGTATTATTTATTTTTTGTTACGGCCTATTTTCATTCATATGAACCATCCGTTGATGCCTTCGAAAATAATTGCTTTTGCTTCCCTCTGCTGGTTAATAAAAATAATGCCGCAAAATATAACAGCGCTTGGGTAGTGTTAGGTACACAACTGGATGTACAGGTACTTCATCCTTGCGAGATACACAAAATAGTCCAGTAAACGTGTTTATTTTCCTCTTTTTTTTGCCAGGCAAAGTGACTTATTTGTGGCAAGCTAAATTTGCTCGCTAACTTTGTAGCATTTTGTGTTTGTCGAACATCCCCCCAACACCGCTTTTTGATGTTTTAACGGGAGACGGCCAACTTCTTCTGAGAGGGTTTACACTTGAACATGTTGCGCGGGTTCTTTTCACTTATAAATCGATGTAATTGGCTTGGAAACTTACTTCAAATGTAACCACATATCCACCATTGCCCCAAAACGCCTCAAGCTAGCTCGCACGCCGCCGGCAACAGACAGGTGGCAAGTCCGCAAATATGACGTCATAATAATGCGGAAGAGCTTCGATTTGAAACAGGTAAATAATTAGTGACTTTGTAAAATAATGCATTATTATAAATAATTTTTATTAGTAGTAGCAGTAGTATTCATTTAAAATAAACTTTCACATGGCCGAGTCAACCTGACAGACACTCTCCTGAAATCTGAGACGGTTAGTTTTGGAGGGTTGGATAACATCAGAAAAAAAAAAAAAAGACTTGCAATTTGAGACGGGTGGTGCCACTTCTGTCAAGAAGTTCAGGCTGCGAAGAGAAAGGTAAGGATTTTTACTCTTGTTTACCGAATCATTTTTTCTGTTTAACTTTTGTGTGCATTATATACATATACACAAACATACCCAAATGTCATGTACAAAAACATATTGGTTCCAATGTATATCCATGTGTGGACAGGTAATGAACATTATTATGAAGAATTCACAATATTATCTCAACTAGTAACCAGTAATTGTTACCCAGGTGTATTTTTATTTTTTGTCATCTTGTGCACTATCACACACACACACACACACACACACACACACACACACACACACACACACACACACACACACACACACACACACACACACACACACACACGCGCGCAAAGAAAAAGGCTCTTAATGTAACTTGCTCTCGTCCCAGTGTGGCCATGGGGGACGCGGCAAAAGGGAAGAAGGTGTTTGTATTGAAATGTGCCCAGTGTCATACTGTGGAGGAAGGAGGAAAACACAAAGTGGGGCCGAATCTGTGGGGTCTGTTTGGTAGGAAGACAGGACAAGCGCCCGGGTTTTCTTATACACAGGCAAATATTGACAAAGGTAAGACCTCTCCTGATTGTTCAATGTACAGCAATACTTTGAGCAGTGGGAAGAAGTGATTTTTTTTTTTTTTTTTTAATACATGTGTGACTGTCTTCAGCGTTGCAGGTCTGAACAGGCAGAGCGGCTCTTGTTGCAAAACTTGATTACGCATACTTTTCATGACCGGCATGTCAAGGAACGCGTGTGATTGTTTTTCTAGGGATTATATGGAGTGAAGAGACTCTGATGGTCTACCTTGAAAACCCAAAGAAATATATTCCCGGAACCAAGATGATTTTCAGCGGTCTGAGAAAGAAAAAAGAAAGGCAGGATATCATTGCATATTTAAAGGATGCCACTTCACCCAAATAGACACACAAGAGTTGTGCTTGTATTCTATAGCTGTGGACATCAGTTTGATAGAGATTGTGTTGAACTGCAATATTAAACTACTTCCTCCCTGTCATCAGTTATTTCATACTTTTGAACGAAACTTTACAAGGGAGCAGAGTTCCTCAGGTATCTATCTTCGAGATGTTTACAGTACTTCCAGACTTCAAACCCTTTGCACTTTTGTTTCTTCTTGCATAAATTGCTACTTGAACACATTTTCTGTTGTTTTTTTTTTTTTTTTAAATCTCTACCTGTTTTATAGCTTGAAGGCCTCTTTCTTTCTTCTTTGTTCCATTTGTTGAGGCTGCATGTCCTTATTTATTTGTATACATTGATACTTTAGACACAGACAAGATAAATGCAAGGCAGGCTAAATTTCATCAACAACAAAAAAAAACAAAAACATGTTGATGGGGTATCAATTTTATGTTGTTGTGTTAAATTAGCAAAATGCAATTGTGTGAAACAGTTTGTCACAAAAATGTAACCGTTTTTTAATTCATGTTCGGCTTTATGAAACATGCAGTTCTGTAACCGGGTCCAATCCCTATTACGTACGCAGATAATAAATGACGGACTTAATTTTGAATGAATTGAATTAAGTCAAATAATTTGCAATGCAATAAAGTGTTCTGTTGAAGTCTGATAAAAAGTGTTTCTTCCCCTCGGTTTGTTTTCTACTCCTCAACAGTCTGCTAATTACTCCTGAATGTGACGTGGACTAACATGACACATTTCGCTGTTGCTTATTTGAAACTTTCAAAAATAAGAATGACAGATTCATACATTTGGAAAGGTGGGTGAGTAATAACCGTGTAGATTGTTTTTTTTTTTTTCTTTTAACATGTGAGGTCCTCTCACTGGTCACAACATTAGGTACACGTTTGATTGACACTGTCAGCATTGAATGAACAGTATGGTCGATATTATGGTTCGTTTGCGGTGGTGTAGAATTACACGACATTATAGTTAGAGAGTCACAAGAGAGTGGCATTATACAATACAGGTGCCTCTCAATAAAATAGAATATCGTGGAAAACTCATTTATGAATGATATTGATTTACGACAGAAAGTAAAATATTTGATCACATTAAAAACAGAAATAAATAGTTCATTATTCAAATAGCTTAATGATTATTGCTTATCCTAAACTTGTATTCTAATATCTCTTAAAAACTTCAAAATTGGACTGCGCAGGAGTAAGGCTTGCGAGGACTAAAACGTCCAGCAGGTGGTGCCATTTCCCACCCGAAGACACCGGCCGCATCGCAGATTGCCATTCGTGCCAGTCGCATCCTCAATGTGTCACTTCAGTCGGGTTCGCGGAGCCACTCGGATTGAGCTCTGCCCACCACCACTCAGCACTAACCTCGACTGGAAACATTTCCCCACCCCCAGAAGAAAAAATCAGTTTTTTTTTTGCAACGACGGCAATCAGGAAGCTTACCCTTCGCTCGATCAAAATTCTTTGCTTTGACAAGTCTCTTTTCTACAGGCAGCGTGTCTACCTTTTTTTTTTTTGCAGTGGACGGTAAGAAAGATCGTGAAATTGCGACATGTTAAGATGCAAATGCATTTAAGATAATAACGTCAGCGAAGCAATTGCTCCGGTGCAGCATCTTTCTGGCTCAACCTCTTGCGTCATTGTGGATGATGTCTGGACGAGTGAGCCTGCATTGATATCATTCGGAGTCGACCCCGGTGATTCGATCCATATCTAATTTTGAGGCAAAGGGATACATGGACGCAGCGCGCACTTGCCTCTACTCCCGCATCGGAGCTGCAACACGTTCACGTTTACGTCTACAGTGTATGTCACGTGTCTCAGTGCACGTGCAACGTGGAGTCAAGTGCACAGCAGTTTAGGAATGTCATGCACCCGCTTTGCAAAGTTTGAATGAAGCTGACAGAAATTGCACGTTAACATGAACTGCTGTACTTAATGTGCATTAGAAAGTAAAGTGCACCTGGTAAATTATGCAACCACGGATTTCACTGTTGATCACATATGTTGATTTTTTATTTATTTATTTATTTGGGGACACGGCACAAGAATATCCTCATAGTAGTTGTCTACATCAAATGATGAACTCCAAAGCTTTTAAATAGCTCGAACATTAATGAATACTTTATTTGTCTGATTATCTTTAATATCGCTCGATCAAGTCCATTGATTTGTGTTTATTTGTATTTTGCTACATGGCAATCGTTCATAGACAATTTCAAGCTTCAAGTGTTGGAAAAAAAACTGTATGGGGGGCGCAAAACAATAATATAGATTATTGACATATGTTCGGGAGCACAACAAAGCCACCAAATTGCCCAACTAAAACGTCTCTAAGTTTGTTGCCTTGAAATTTATTGAGAGTCATCGATGTTTTTGATTGCTGTCACGTGACAAAACGGTTCAAATTTGATCCAAACTCTAAGTGGTAACTTGCTTCTAAATGTGTCACTTTGTGTCATCTTTTTCAAGGGTAGACGACACCCTAAGAATGGATTTCGTAACATTTGCATTGTCTTTGCACATACTTGTGAGACCCGCTTGGGCTTTCTCCCATCACTCCTTCATGGACAGATTCTTCACGCCTCACTCAGGTAGGACGTTCGAACCACGTCTGTGTCCTGATGACCCAAATTGCCGTGCGAAACATGACTTCCACGTTTTCCTCGTAGTCGTCACCTTGCTGGATAAACCAATGAAGTTTCAGCCCTGTTGTCTGACGTCGCCACCTCCTCCTCCACTCTACCCGCCGCCACCACCTCAGCTCTGGAAGCAAGGCAAACCTGTAACCGCCCCCCACACCCCCACACACACACACACACACACACGCACACACACACACACCATCCAACACATTTGCATGCGAGGATTCAACCCAGGGGTCGGCAACCCGCCCTGCTAAGAGAAACGTGTGTCACAGGCTATGACGCAAATCTTCGTTGACAGAAATGTTGACATTTAAATTTTATTCGACACATTTTTACAGCATAAGAAAACGTTAAGAATGTTTGTGTCATGTTTTTCCTCCTACATAAAGCATATTAAAACAAAAAATATATTACCCTCCTCCATCTTTTTCCATTTTCAAACATTTTTAAAAAAGCTTCGGGGAGCCACTAGGACGGCGCTAAAGAGCTGCATGCGGCTCTGGAGCCGCGGGTTGCCGGACTCCGATTTAACCCTTTCAGGGACAGCGGTTACTACAGTGGACAGCTGATCACGTTATCATCTTACAGGGTGCATGAAAGGGTTCATGTGACGCTTTCTCGTTTTTTAGGAGGGTGGCGGCACGACAGTGCCAGCAGTGTTTCGAGGAGAGGAGCAACAAAATGAACATCCGGTGATACCGGGTTGCCCAGCTGGGCCTCCAGGAGCACCGGGACCCCGCGGCCCAGAGGTGGGGAGGCCCCTTACCCAACCGAATTAAGTGGACATGTGCGAATATCCATCCATAAATGTCATGTCATCTTTCAGGGTGACACTGGATTACCTGGCATAAGAGGACCAAAAGGGGAAAAGGTGCATTTTCTGGTCCACTTGTGTCATTTCTTGATGCACGTCTTTGCGGTTTCTCTCATGAGAGCAAAATCTCTTCTCCCCCTCGTTTGTGCTTCTCAGGGAGAAATTGGACGTCCGGGGTCAAAGGTGAGCCACTTCTCACTTTCCTTTAAGTAATCGGCTCATTTCTTCCTGATCCATCTTGCGCGCCCTTGGAAGTGGATTTCTCCTCCTATGTTGTCCTAAGAAGAAGACCAACAAAGTTTGCAGCTATTTAAACATGTCGCACAACATTGGAACACGTGGGAGGAGTCTCATTTCTCCGCCCTCCTCCCCTCAACTCATTACATTTTTCTTTTTGACCTCTTTCTGCTTTCCGGTTTTCTTGGCCTGCATCCATTCTCCGACCGTACGGGTACTGGACTCCAGGTCCTGCTGAGCAAATCACTTCTTCTCCTTAATCTCCCTAAGTGCTTTTTACACTCGACTCAATGATAAATCACCTCACGCTGCAGCAGCTGGTCCGCCGCGTCCCAACAGGCTTCTGTTCATTTTAATGACACTCATCCAGACCCCCCCCCCCCCACCACCACCCTAATACCAGCTCTCCTGGCTGCAACAAAGCATAATACACAAACCTCAGGGGTGCGCTTCGAGCTAGCACAGTCATCTGTTCTATCTGACGAAGGAATCGTAGAAGGTCAAATTATTATTTCCAGGCGTTTATGAACACAAGGTTATCATCCGCCATTTTTAAAAATTTTTTTTTTTTTGAAAGGGCCGCACTGGAGCGCCGGGGCTTCCGGGGAAACAAGGACTGTCCGGATGGCCTGGTCCACAGGGAGCCATGGTAGGTGGCGTGTGCTCATCACTGTCAGTTTGTCGTTCATCCATGTGCAACATCCCGTCTACAATTTCTTTTATCAACCTCAATAAATGCTGATGGCATTTTGATGTGAATCGCACAAGGCACGCCGGTGATGGGAGGGAAAAAATATATATATAAATTGCTGTCATGTTTGTTTTGAGGGTGAAAAAGGAGACCCCGGGCTCATGGGACTACCAGGATTGAGGGGACCCCCAGGAATGAAGGTGAACACCGCAGTGGTCTTTTCAGAATCGATTTTTCATTGTTACTTTGATTGTTTCTCAATTTCTTATAGGGGATGACTGGTTACAGGGGAGAGAAGGTAGGTTTGTAATTGATATACAAAAATCTCCCCTTTTTTTCAATGATGAAACGAATAGAGTTTCTTAATTGTCTTAATACTAACAATTATTATATCTGAGCAATTTTTTAAATTGGGAAAAAGGGGGACAGTGGAAGCCCAGGCATACCGGGATTAAAAGGTGATAAAGTAAGACTTTTTTTTATTTTTCTTGCACAGACAAATAGTATTTTTATGTCATTTGATGAGGCAATTATTTTTCACATTGGCTCACAATTTAGGGCACTATCGGTTTGCCGGGGATGCTGGGTCAGAAGGTCAGTAACAAAACGCAACTAAAGCAGGGGGATTTCACTCAATATTCACCGACACCTACCTACTCTTCTCACAGGGAGAACAAGGACCAAAGGGAGAGCCAGGCGTCTCGGGCAAAAGAGGACCCACTGGGCGACCTGGGAAGAGAGGGAAGCAGGTGAAAATACGAGTCGTGATTTGGGAGGTATTTGCACACATACTACATGTACTTTATCCAACATTTGATTCTTATAGGGGGAAATGGGACAAACTGGAGCTTCGGGACTTATGGGCAAACCTGGGCCCCCGGGTCCAAACGGCACCCCCGGTCCACCTGGACCACCGGCCCCCGGTTAGCTGTCACGCATCCGGTAGTTGCACACTTACCACAATGTTTGGTGTTCATCCACGGCTGTGCACCTCGCAGGTCTCTATCTAGCTGGGGAAAAGGGTGAGAAGGGTCTTCCGGGCCCACCCGGCCGCTGTGAGTGTGACACTTTCCTTGTAGCGAACAATGCTCCTTCTGGAAGCGACGCACATGAGGAGAGCCCCAATCAAGTCCCCGCCGTAAGACCATATGGGCACAAAAGAGCTCGATTCCTAATTTGAAGAGAATTTCGTTGTATCCCATCACACTTTGTTATTTATGGACTTATTTTGAATTCAAATGTGTTCAGATATTTGTGGTGAGCAACGAGGAGGAGCTGGGCCGTCTCCATCTGGATCAGGCGATCGCATTCAGGAAGGATCAGAAGGCACTTTATTTTCGAGATGAAGACGGATGGAAGCCCATACAGGTGAGTCATATTTTGGAGTGAATCGGGAATATTTGCTTCACGCTTGCTTTCGTATTCCTCTTGCAGCCCTTCCAGCAATTTCAGTCCACCGAGAACAGAGCCGGCGTGTGCGGGGATGGGAAAGTGCAGCCAGAGGATGGAGAGGAATGTGATGATGGAAACCAAATTGTCACCGATTCCTGTCTGAGTGAGTCGTATGTGTACACATTGCGGGACATTTACGAAGTACTTTCAGTATCTCTGTGTGAGGATGCTAAGCTGCTATCCAATTCCCCCCCCCCCAAAAAAAAAGCATCCTTCACATTCTTTTCCCAAGCATGCTTTCAATACCTTCTGCCTTACTCTTCGATTAAATTAGTTGCAAAATGCTGCTCTGGCGCTGACACTCCCCCCCAATTGGCTTGGTGCCATTTTGCTGCCTTATGTTCTGAGTCCAGATTGCAAATGGGCCTATTGTGGAGACGGTTATCGACATGAAGGCATGGAGGAGTGCGATGGAAAAGACTTTGGCTATCAGACGTGCAAATCCTATCTTCCTGGGTAAGATCAGAAACGGCGAGGTCAGAGCAGCGCCTCTTAATGTTTGGACGTTGCGTTTAATAGAACTTGATATTGCGCTACTCTCATCAATCTGAAAGAATATCTACAGTACCGAAAACAAAAAAAAAAAAAAAAAAAAATCTGAATTTCAATGCGCTTACCAGTGAGTTGCACTTGCTTAACATCCTCCTCCGTCTCTGCCGCAGATCCTTTGGCCAGCTCAGGTGCACCGAGGCCTGCGTCATCGACTCCACCGTCTGCAAGTACTTCACCTGAACGGAACGCAAGTTGCAAACGTTTGCAGCTCGTATTCATCATTCAAAGTGGGGGGTCGGAGGGGAGTCCCACCTCAGATTTCACTTGAAGTCTCACCTCATGTCCCCGATTAATACTTGATGGACTGAGAGAGCGCCAACAGGAGTCCCTTCTGCTCTGTGCCATGAGATGACGAACGGGAGTCCGCTTTTGGATTGGCTGTGGATCATTTTGTTGGCCTCAGGGATCTGCTTCTCGCTAAACCTGCTACGAAGGGAAACACTTCAATGATTGTATGGAATGACTTGCTGACTGTTATCACGGACATAAGCGGAGCATCTTTTATAACGAGAAAAAAAATTGTATTGCTACCACGGAATGCGGAATGCTTTAAACATGTGCAATAGATAAGAAATCCTCTATTTCGAAGGTGAAATGCTGTGCTATTGCATGACAACGTGTTTAAACCGAGCTGTAAATAGAGTAGCCAAAGTTTGAACTTTTTGATGAAAACGTAAAAGAGCAATAGAATAGCATGCTAAACGCTGTCGGACTGGAAATAAAAAATAAAAAAAAAATTAAAAAGCGACACATTAACCTTTACACACGCTTCATTTTCCATACACATATTTATCGGGCGAACTTTGACCTGAGGCAAGAAAATCAACGAATGACAGATCTTTTAAAAATGTTTAACGATTAATAGCCTGTGACATTAATAAATGGATGATTAATCCCGTATCAATGTTTCAGATGAAAGGCCAAATGTCTGTTTTGTTTTTTTTTGCAGTTGCAGATCTTGCACCTGTGTCAAGGTACAGTACCGTTTGACCACCTCTGTCCATGACTTCTGATCCACAAATTTAGTGCGACTGATCGTTCCTATGCTGTTTTACTCTTCAGTCTTCACTGTTTTGAGACTCAACCAAAATGCAAGTGGGACTTCTTCCGTCTTTTATCCAGCATCTTGCCACACTTCCATCGAGGCACGACTTACAAGAGCACAAAAATATCCAACGAGGTACAAGCTAGTCTGCCACCAGCTCGAAAACCTGCAAAGACAAGGGAAAGTTCAGGCATCTTCCGGAGGGAGCCGCTTTTTCTATCCAAGCTCCGCCCACACCGGAAAAAAAGTCAACTGCCAACAAAATCAAACACATTCTGTTCATATGAATATAAACATTGATGGCATAAGCAGTTTCACAGTTCAAAATAATCACCAATATTTTTTTCTCGACAAAAAACAAAACAATACAATGGTTATTCTAAAATCCGTTCTGGTAAACACAAATCAAATTCGACCAATTAAACAGCCTCATTGTACAGATTTTGTAGCAACTGCAGAAAACGATGGCAGCTTTGAATCTTTTCATTTTTGCATTTAATTCGGGTAACAGACAAAGACAATCTTTATTGCTGACAAATACGAAAAACCGATGAGTTTAAAATGACGTTTGGGAGGGTTCATGTGGGCGGAGTTTGCGAAGCGAAACCGGCCAATCAGACGCGCACTTTCTGCAGCGGCGCTCACCGAGCAACGTCACTGCCACGTAGAAGTATCCGCGATCCGGTGGCCTCTCAAACCTGCGTGTACTGACGTTCCATTTCGCGTATTTCCACACCGGCGTTTGGTCTCGTACGCCAAGAGGCAATGCTGCTGCCGCTGCTGAGCTGGTTGTGCTCCTCCCTGGTGGCCGCCGTCTACGGCGGAGCTCTGCCCGAGGCGGAGGTCAAGCTGGAAGTCCTGCACAAACCTTTCCTCTGTCATCGTAAATCCAAGTACGGAGACATGATGCTGGTGCACCATCAAGGCTACTTCGAGAATGGTACCATGTTTCATGACAGGTTGGTAGTAGTAGTTGTACAAGGTGTGTCGTTAAGTGTGTTGGAATTTTGCCGCCTCTGGTACCAAATGAGTGACACTTTTTTTTTTGTTTTTTCCTGTGTGCGTCGACAGTCGTGGTGATCCTACTGAGGGGGACAAACATGCAATGTGGTTCATATTGGGCATCAGGGAGGTGATCAAAGGCTGGGACCAAGGTCTCCAGAACATGTGTGCAGGAGAGAAAAGAAAGTTGATCGTACCTCCAGCTTTGGCCTACGGCAAAGAAGGCAAAGGTACAGTCGAGCATCTACCCGGTTTAAGTGTATGTCCTACTTTCTTACTTTGTTTGGCATGGCATGTTGTTTTTTTTTATCTTGCATGTAAACCTCTGCTGTTCTAAATGACTCTTTAGGACTTCCATACTGATTGAAGGATTCAGTCAGTTTTTTTTTTCTTACCGCGGAGGCATGTGAACGATACTAAGCCGTGTCCTGGTAAGCTCACTCAGCAATAACAATTTATGATTCACACCCACAAAAATGCAACAATGAAGACTTTCTAATTTTCTTTCTTGAAACTAACCCTTAGCTACTCTTTAGTGGTTATCAAGCTTGCTGTTGTTGTTTTTTTTCCCCCCCAGCTCTTACTCTGATCCTGTCCCGTCCGTGCTTTAGGTAAAATCCCCCCTGAAAGCACCTTGACCTTCATCGTTGAGTTGCTCGAGATCAGAAACGGCCCGAGGTCGCACGAGTCGTTCCAGGAGATGGACCTAAATGACGACTGGAAGCTTTCCAAGTCCGAGGTGAAGCTATTCAACCCTTTGAAAGAAATGCGCAGTTCCTCTCGATCGGATGCATGTTTTCAATGCGCTCTGTAGTATACTCAGCACAATAGAGCTTTCCATCTACTAGTCGATAAATACCAAATATACTTTCTGGACAAATTATTTGTATCGGCGCAATGTCGCAAAGACAATTATTTTTTGACTTTTTTTTTAAATGTATTTTAAAATTGTTCAACTGTACTACACCCAATGCAATAATTTTCATACTTTTACACCAAGTAAAAAAAAAACTACTTCATCCGAGTTCAACATTTGTGACCAACATTAAAGTACGACAAACAACTCTTGCCTTGGTGTACCTAATGAAATGTCCGTTTTATTTAACGCCACAATGCCCCCACCCCTCCGGGTTTTTCTTTTGCAGGTAAAACAATACTTCAAGAAGGAGTTCGAGCGTAACGGCTACCCTCCCAATGACACCCTGCATGAGAATATGGTCCAAGACATTTTTGCCAAGGAGGATGAAAACAAAGATGGCTTCATATCCTCCAAGGAGTTTACTTACAAGTACAAACACGATGAACTTTAAAGACTCTCATCTATGTTCTTGTCATTCATTTGTGGTGCCAGGAACATTCTCGGGTGCGTTTGTTGGATGCCTTGACACTGAACACATTTGTGAACCTGAACGAAGCTCCGGTTTTGGTGTGGCGATCGTTCGCCAACGTGTAACTTTGCTCTGATTGGCCCACGTCAGCTACCACATGTGACTTTGCTGTAGGGATCTTGTATTCGTGTCAAACTTTGTCATAAATATGAAAAAAAAAATTGTTTTCAATACGGGCGGCATGGCTTGCGTTCTTTGAGTGCACCCGCTTCCTTCTACCTTCCGGGAACATGAAGATGAGTTGAACTAACTCGCCCATCGGTGTGAATGTAAGACAGGAGGAAAGCGTGTGATTGGTTGATTGCGATTGGAATGAGGATAAGTGTTTGAAAAAAATATTTTAAAGATTGGATAGATTTATGGAACTGTTCTCATTTTGTTGCTTTGTCAAAGAATGAAAGCCGATTTAAAAACAAAACAAAACAAAACAGTAAGACTGTTGTTTGCATTTTTATTTTCTATCAAGCAAATAACGTTGTTGCACTTGCCCCTTTTCGTCAACGTGATCAATAAAGTGACTGGGAAAAGTGTGATTTTATCACGTGATTGGCCAACAGATGGCGCTGTTGTTACAAGTCTGGTTAGTACATCGGGGAGCGCCAACCTGATCTCGAGGAAAATGTACTCAAGTGCACTTCCGCAGTCACAGTAGAAGTCGAGTCATTGTCCGCAATGAAAAATATGTCCACATGATCTATTGGCGTCCATCAAATTGGACTTGAAATGCTAGCGAAGCCTGCAACAGTATTTCGCTGTTGCTTACCGCAGCAACAAACCCAATGTATGCTAACTCTGTTGTGTGAACGTTGGATGTCATTATCAAAAGAGTTTAATATGCCCGCGGCTTTTGCAGATCATTCTCATCTCTTTTGTGTACAGATAACAAATTGCTCAAAACCGCTTCAAACAAACCACATCCAAAATAGCCCCTGGAAGAAATTCACGAGAGACTGCGCGTATGTGCTGATGAGGACGAGTCGGGCGGGCCCTCCTCTCACTCGCATTCAAAACATTCCACTCCAGAAAAGGTCAGAGGTCACCGTTATGTCGTAGGAGGCGCAACTAACACGCAAACGATATCCCCGCCGCGGAACCAAAAGCGCCTGGCTCTTGTGTTTATTGTTGAGCGTTTCCGAACCTTTGTATCCAGGAATTGTGTGGGATGAATTTCATCTGAGGTGTGACCTGATCCCATGGGGCGCTGGATTTACTGTTAAGAGAGAATGGAGAGTGAAAAGAAAACATCACAGATTGAAAACGGCAGTGTAATTATAGCGCTCTCTTGTGCTGCGATACCTCTGTTTTCTTTACTGGGGTAGATGCGAGGGAAAGGCTTGAATTCATCTGGAGGAGGAAAATCTTCTTTTGGGTGGAACTGGAATTTGGATTCAAAGTCATCTGGATGGAGTGAAGAAGCAACTGCGCTGTCATTTTCAGATACGAAACACGGTGTTTCATTGTACCTTTTGGAAAGATGTGTCTTGTTTGAGATTCATTGCTGGATTATCATGCGGGCGTCTAAGTATTCATGTAAAGTGGATATAAAAAGTCTACACCCCCCCCTTTGTCCAAATGCCAGGTGATCGTGATATAAATCATATCAGCACTTTAGTTTCAGTATTAGCTTTAGTTTTAAAAACATTTCATGGCATATTTGTTGAGTTATTTTAAACACTGAATTCTGATCTGGATAAGCGGTAGCAAACTCATCTGTGAGTCGAGTGAAGGACTATACAAGGGTATCTAAATGTGGCTAATGTGAGGATTTCCTCAAATATTCGCCCGTGCCTTTGTGATGAAATTCTGTCATTGACTTCTGTCGAAAATCTGGCCTCCATAATTCATCATTATTTTGCTTGCACCCTTGCACAAGCAGCATTCGAAGCACTTGAAGATTCGAAGGCCATTGTCACGAACAGGATGCCCCATCGTGACGCAAACGTGACTGGTCGGTCACTCACCCTGACTGTGCAGGTGTCCATTCCTGACAATGGAGGGCGGCGGAGGGGGAGGAATGCGGCCGGACAGCTCAGTGGAGGAGGAACGTGCCGGAGGAGCTGGAGGAGGAGCCAGACGACAAGCACCTGCTCACACGAGGGGAGGCGTCAAGAGGGCTGTCATCAGAAACGTGAGCTTGAACATGAAAAATGCATTTCAATTGGATCTGTTGCGACTCAGTCATGTGACAAGACCATGTCATCTCCTGTGTATAATCCATCCATTTTCTACCAGTGGTAATTGGGAAGCTGGTTGCCAATCAATCATGGAGCGCATATCGCATAGGCAAAACAATCACACTCACATTTCTCTCCAAGCGTCTTTCTGTTGTACCGGTCATGTTTCGCTGAGCATTGCATTGTCATGTACAAGACAGGAAGTTATTTACAATGTTCCCCCTCATGGTCACAATCATTCATTGCCCATCATGATCACTTCTTGTTCGTATATGGACCGACCTGCACTTCTCGGCACAGCAGGCGGTCGCCTGGTCGGAGCGTTGCACGGGTATGACGGCGGAAGAAAGCGTAAGGCCGGCGAGGACACGGCAGGAATTCTGGGCGGGGGCGGCGGGAGAATGGATGGACAGCTCGGGGTGTAAGAGCTTGGGAGAGGGGGAGGTGGCACTGGGGGCGGTGGTCCGAGCGGGCTCGAGTCACGCAGGATGGGGAACCTTGCAGGTTCAAAGTGGACCACAGAGGGCGGTGGTGGGTAGAAGGACCAAGAGGAGCGGTCCCCAGGGAGAGAAGGAGGGTTGTTAGTTGGAGGGGGAGGCGTCAGGGGTTGGGCATTAGTGGTGTGTTGGTAGTGCTGGATGGGAAGCCAAGTGGGCTTTGTGACCTGAGATGGAGCCGGAGGGGGTGGGAAGGGAGGTAGAGGGGGAGGCTTGTTGGTGGGCCGGTCCTGGAAGGCTTCCGGTGGAGGAGGAGGAGGAGGAGGAGCAGAGGGCGGGGCAGGTGGTGTGGGCGGAGGGGGAGCGGCCACGGGGAGAGGAGCAAGATGCTTGCTGGCGTGAGTCGGCGAGGGTGGGGCGGAGGAGGAGGCGAGCGGACGGGGGCCGATCGACTCCGCCAAAGTGGGCGTGTTCCACAGCGGCTTGAGGGAGGCCGATGAGCTCGAACGGGACACTAGAACACAGACGCACACAAAAATTGTCTTTGTCGCAGAAAAATTCATCCTCGACTGCATGTTTCAAGTGCTCCAAGGTTACAGGTTTCACTCTACCCGCGGGGGCCCCTCGAGGTAGTATTTTTGCTCTGAGATGAGACAGTGCGCCACTGACGTACAACTAATATGCTGTTTGAATTTGGCATTGCAAAGTACTTTCGATTTCTCCAACAAGGATCAAGAAAATAAAACTACCTATAATCCATGTCGGGGTGCTCCTGTAATTTTACCAACCTGGCGTCTTGCCTGCCGAGTCCCGTTGCCCTATCGGCCTTAGGGTGGGAAACCCCCCTGCAAACAGCCCACCTAAGGATGGCCCCATGGGGGCCGCACCTCCACGTGGACCCTGAGCGGCACCAACATTGCCGGACACATCTCCACTTGGAGCCTTGGGCTCTGGGGAGGAGGAACACACAACGCAATATACATTTGAGGATGACAACAATGAAAAAGAACATTTGATCTCAGGCAAGCTAGTTCAAGAACCAATTTAATGCATATAGTCTACAACTTCGTGCAACGCGAGCCTGCTTGAATGTGTCGGTAGTAATTTCCTATTACGTCTGCATCCTTATCTCCAACCTCATGACATTCCTTCCCAAAGTGCACACTTGAGTGCGTACATGCAAGTCTACGTGCAAATATGGCCAAAGAAATACACGGGCACCTCATGAGCCGCACAACTAAAAGCCTCGAGAACCAAGGTGAAGCCATTTCCATTGGGCAAAATGCAAGACTGACTTATTTGCAGTGGTACAAGGTGCGGAAGGTTCGTTTGCTTACTGTCCACAACAGGGGCACTGCGGTCATTGACCTGCGTGACTTTCTTGAGTCGGGCTCCCTTCTGGATGTCAGCCAGCAGAGCGCTCCTGCCGCCTCCTCCGCCAGACTGGACCTTAGGAGACTCGACTGGAAACTGTGACACGGACAAATAAATATTACACTCATTTTTTAGCAAAGTGTGATGCGGTCTCACATAATAATATAGTTTCCCACCCGAGAACGGGTGTAGAAAGGAAAACCTTTTGACCATAGAAATGACCTATGACTCAGTTACCACGTGCACACTGTGCACCTGCTTAGGAAACTGAGCCGCCATCAATAATGCAAACGACATCCAGGGAGTTAAACCAAGCGAAAGGGACAAACAGGTAAACTCCAAAAGTATGAAGAGATATTTTCTTACAAGTGGAGGTGCGGTGCTTGGGGGTGGCGGGGGAGGTGGTGGCGGAGGTGGAGGTGGCGGCGGTAGCGGCATCTTAGGAGGTCACAGCTATACCTGCAGAAGACAACGCAGTTAAAAAAAAAAAAAGTGCCACCAGAAGCTGCTACTGTGCAAACAAAACACTTCGGCTGACCTCTCGCCCGATTCTCTGAAAAGGAAGTTCTTTCAGCTGAGCGCTGCACAAAACAGGAAACAGAAAGCTCTCCATCCTCTCTGTAGAAGTCCAATACCCCCCCCCCACCCCCCTTCCCACCTCTTCGTCCCCTGTCTTCCCACAATGCCCCATGGCTTGAGTTGGGAAGCGAACAATAGTGCATGTTGTGTGAGAGGTAAGAGACTCCCCTTCAACGCCAGAAAGGCATTCGCTGACATTTTGTGCTGTCGTGGATAAGAAACCCATTGAGGATACGCCACAGGAAAATTACATGACACGCATGCATGTTTTCCATAACTAGTGAGTAGGAAGAACCCAATTTTTTATGGATATGTATATATTTTTTTTTTACATCGCAATTCCTAAGGTGCTCTCTTCCCTGATTGGCTAACAATGGCTACATTGACTTATCTATCAGGAATTTGAAGCTTCTCTGGTCATTTAATAAACAACAATAAACCTGCTTATGCCTGGATTTACTGTCTTGCTGAAACGCTATGCTACAAAAATAATGGGACACCCCACTGTTTGTTGAATCTCATTATTTTAGCTTATCGAGACATTTTGACAATGTGGACTTGTAAATGTTGATCTCAACCCCATCAGACACCCCTCCGGGATGAACAAGAACGGAGATTCTGAGCCAGGCACTCACTAGGCAACTGGCAGGCCGTTCCTCCGTGACTATTTCTATCGTCAAAAGTGTGCCAGCCATCTCCATGACACTGCCAGTGAGGACTTTTAAACAGGGGCAAGCTGACTGGCTGGCTTTCCATGTTGTGAAATAGGTGCAAGACACCACTTGACACAGCTGTTGTTTTCAGCTTGGAGAACATTTTCAGTAGTTCCTCCTATAGAAAAAAAAGACCTCCTGGGGATCATCATATAACGCACCTAACAAAAACATGTTAAAGGTACACTTTTTTTTTTGTAACATTTAAAGAGCACAATGAATAGATACGTTGAACAGTGAAACAGTATATTGGAAACAACTAACTTGGGGCCTACCTTCCCAGAGTCAGAAGTCCACCTGATAGCTTTCAGAGTCCTCGGCTTGTAGACGCGCAGCAAACTGACCTCATAGTTTTATTTTTAACCAGACCGGTCGGCTGCCTGTCACTAACTGCAAAAGAAAAACTTCCAAAAAGTTGGGAAAGGGTTTCCTTTTCTTTTTGTTGTTGTTTAAGATGCAGCACTGTGCACATGAACAGTGGTCTCTTGATTGCTACAGCAGTTCTCCCACACTGTGTACCGTGCAGAAGTCTAGCGGCGTAATACAAATGCAGAAGGGGGCAGGACAACACCCTACTGGGAAGAAACACTGGGAGGGGGGAAAAACGACTACACCACGTTTCTAAAGCGTTATTAAGCAAAGGCAAAGATTTTACATTGGTTAAAAAAAAAAAAAAAAAATCGATCTTGCCTCAACTGACATATACAATGAATGGTTGAACTCGAAGTTATTACCCCTGTATCAATGGCAACAGGTAGATACTCAGGTTGTTTGTACATTCTGCCATCTAGTGGATTAGCATTTAAAGTACAGTACTAGAATTGTTCTGCCTGGTACGGTACGTCGCTGGCATAGATAGACGAACAACGACATTGTAAAAACGGAACGGCACAGCCGATGACCTGGTGTGTTGGCAACTACCACATAAATGATATTGCAAAAATAATAATCAGAATCCTAATCACAATCACGAGTGACAAAGTGAGGGAAAAAAAAACTATTAAAATATACACATTGAGAAAGTGTACACAAATCCGTGTTAAGTTCCTTTGTACAAGACCGGCACAAATGCGCTGGATGTCACTTTGCTATGCAAGTGTAAGTGTTCCACAAAACTGGTTTATAATTTTTTTTTTAGCATGGGTATCCACAATGTGGCTCGGGCAGTTAATTACCGTGACATATGAAATTGTAATCTTGCACATCTGCGTTCGTTTTGGCTCGGTGAAAGACCAGACTGGCAGGTGAATCAACTGAAGCTCGTCTGCAGCACCCCCTGCAGTTGAAATGATGACATGACAGCTGCCCGTTCAATAAATGCGTGGATTGTATCAGGTTCCAGTGCCTACAGAAAACAGCAGCCACAAGCCAGTGATCTTTCATTTGCACAAAATTATTATTTTACTATATTAAAAAGGGCGAATGGGTCGCTTGGGTGGCGGAAAAACATTAACGTGGCGGCACGTGACACAGGAATGCAGTGACACAAGCGTGCTCCTCCCTCGCGCTGGAAAACAATAACACCTAAGGCCTCAGTTTGGCACACATTGTAACGTCGTCGTCGATCTTGTTGCATCATTTCAAGTCAACTCATTTACACTCTCTGACAATGTAAAGTTTACATACCGGACTTTCATGCAGGTACCGTAGATTCTCTGGCAACCAGTCCAGGTTATGGCCGTCCAAATTCAGCAGCTCCTCGGCAACTCTCAACAGGATAAACAGGATGTAAAACCAATGAATCGATGCGATGTTGAGGATTCACAAAGCACATACACGTTGAATGGTAGCAACAGTTTGATTTATTGCACGTGTTACCTTCATTTCAATATTCACAGGTGATTTCAACACAGCGTATCATAAAAACAAATCTAAAGTCAGGGGCGCGGGGGTCGCATCTTTGCCTAGCCCATCCTTTCGGCACATAACATCACCGTTTCTCTTCATTTATCCGCACCTCTGTTCAAAAATCTGAAAACTTATCCTTCATTTAAAAAAAAAAAGTTAAATCAATTTACTTGCACTCCTATCAAATCATTGACAATTTCACAAACATCCCTCAAGGCCTTCCAACGGTTTCATAAAAGCACGTTCGCAGAAGGCACGTCCTTCATTTACATATATTAAATGTCATTGTCACGCAGGCATGTAAAGGTCAATATGTTACATAAAGAAGAGGACACCACACAAACTCACTCGATGGGCTCAGTATCAAAAAGAATATACACCCATCTTTGCTGTGACCCTTCAAGTCCTCTCTGCTCCTCGTCACCTTCCTCATCACCATCACAACCAACCCACAGAATTGTCTGCACACCTCAAGGGAAGGAAGCCTTTTCCTTCGCGTCTTTGTGAAGTCAACTTTGTACCTTCCGTCGCCTCTTCTCCAACTCTCGATCACCGAACGTCGTCTGCCGCCGGCGCCACGTTTTCACTGTCTTTATCCTCCACGGCAAGGCCCGTGCGAACCCGCCTCTTCAGTTTGAACCGGCCCGAGCGGGACACGTTCATGTTTCGGCGGCAAGTCTGCTCGTTGAACAGGGACTCGATGTGGGAGTCATCGTAGGTCTCGTCGCTGAAGAGGCAGGAGCCGTTGGTGGGCTCTTGTTGCGGCAGAGACTGCTCGGTGGTGCTCTTGGTCTCTTTGGACTTGTCTTGGGCAAAAGGGTCAAAGTCTGGTCCGTACGAGTAGGGGGAACTCGGGTCCTTGGCGGACCCTGGCTTCTTCTTTGGCAGGAAGGCCCTCCACCATTTTGCCCTCTCTGTCATCTTTGCCTGCAGGAGGAAGACCGAGCAAAGGAGACATCACTGTATCACTCACTATTTTCTATTTATATTACTGCCTTCATTGAGCTGGGTGATTCCTTAGTCAGACAATGATGATGTACTAAAAATAAGATGCGTGCTTTTTTTTTTTTAATATATAATGACAGACGGAACAATTAAATGCACTTCTATGAAATACCAGTTAACCTGTGTTTCCGCTTATTGTGTAATATTTGTTTCGTGGCGTGGAATGATTTTTTTTTTTTTCTAAACGATGTGCCGTGGTTGGCGAAACACAGATTTGGCTACGCAACACATCCAGGCGAGTCCATTATGACTCAAATCAAATTCTTGGTTTGAAAGGTGGAAATCTGACTCGTAAAGAACCCAGCTAGAATTTCATTGACAATTTCTGTCCCGTCGCGGGACTTCCCACCCTCCCTAATCTTGTTAAAGCCTCTTTTCGTAAAACTGGTTTAATGGGTTGCGAGTAAAGAACAAACACAAACTGAGATTGAAAACATGGAATTCCACGCAAACCAAAGCGCTTACCTGAGGGAAAAGCAGGAGTTGGCGACACTTGTGATGATCCAAATCAGGATGAAACGCTCTTGATACTGATCTAATTTAAAGGGACTGGCTTGCCTTCAAATAAGTGTGACGGCAATTCTCCGAATATGAAACTGGACGGATTTCACGCTGTAGTAGACCGCCCTTGTCTCCGCTCTGATCTCACAGGCGAAGACGTCGTACCCCCCCACTTCACTCTAGTCCAGTGAAGTCTGGACCCTTCCTTAATGATTCTTCCGAAACGTTGGCGTGAAATGACACATAAGCGGTGTCGCTTTCTGCTGACTGAACCAGCAGGTTTCCGTCCCCGAAACTCCAAAGTCGTTGCACCTGTACTCACTCCCGATTGGCTGACGGCGAAGTGGTCACGTGAGCCCCACCCAGGTTAAACTGCTGTGTCGTGTGGGCGGCGTTTGTCATTGCCAGGCAACCCAACCGATGGGAGGAAATCTCTCCACTGATTTAAAAAGAAAAAAAAAAGCAATCCTTTGTATTGTACTTGCGTGACCCAACCCATCATTGACTGAGTTTTTTTTTTTTTTTAGCCACATCGTCCCTGTAATGTGGTTGACAAGAATTAATTGGCATGGCGACATTTAATATCACAAGAGGTTATTAAGGTCAGAAGTGGCAAATACATAATTAGTTAAATAAGTACAGACTCTAAAGTCAAAGTAAAAATGTTTTTTTTTTTTGTCAACAGCACAGTTTTGAGAAGTTGGCGGTATGCAAAAAAAAAAAAAAAAAACAATAAAAAAAAACGATTCCTTATGTCCTGCTCATACTGAAAAATGAAACACCTCATTATGCTGCATGTTGTTGTAGTTACAGTCAAATGGGACCAACGTTGACTAGAAGGCAAAGGAAAATTAAACGTCTTCGACTGTTAGCAGCATGATGACGTCAGAAACATCTAATTGGATGCTGAGGAAGTACCATATATGCATATCATTCGCCTGCTAGTGATTCCAGAAAGCTAGGAAAAAATAAAAAAGAAAGCATGTGTTCAGAGGAGCAACATGGCAGGCTGTGTGCACATCACACAGGAGTTCGGAGGAATCAGGAAATGTCATCTTTTCTTTTTTTGAATCAGTCATAAATTATAGACATTGCTCTCAGGGGTCTACTGCAAATAAATGTGAGTGACTCAATGTGAGGTGAGGGGACAAATCAAAAGTCACAAAAAGAATCCATTCCCCCATCTTTTTTTTTTTTTTTTAACGAGGTGTAGATTGAACTAGTCACCAGCCAGTTGCAGGGGGTATTATTTATTTATTATAATTGATTATTCTAAATTATTATTAAGATTTTTTTTTTAACATCTTGGACATTTGGATTTTGGCCTGTTTTCCTGGCACTTCTCTTTCCTACCAGTTCTCTCCTCTCCTGCTCAGAGGCTAAAGATCGACGTGTTGTTAAGGATGATCTGGCATTGACTAATTGGGACAGGTTTAAACCGGCGGCGCTTGATTTCATTGAATGGACTCCAATATGGTTTTAACTGACAGTAATCGACATGATATCATATGATTCATGTTGCTTACTCAGCATTCTCTGCAGCTTTCCTGGAGTTTTTTTTTTTTTTTGTGAACTATGGGCCCGTGAAGCCCTCGGAGACTCTTTTTGTGATACAGTATATCAATAAACCCGTTTTAATTTACTTCTGTTTTCCATCCGGCCATTTTCTCCTGCGTTTGTCCTCATGCAACCTTTGAAACTAAATACTGACTGACAAGAATCTTGAACCAGCAAACCACATCTGCGACTTCAACTAATGGTTTGCGCCTCAATGTCTGTCATTTTGTTTTTTTTTAACCTACGTTTACTTGGGCTTATTGTCTGTGTACGGACTTGTACATGCATATAGAACATTCTAATGAATCATAATGCACAGTTCTCGTCTGCTCGTGCCTTAAGGGCGAGGACACTAATGAGCCGTCTTGATCCGTGTGCCACACGTGCGTACGAGCCAAGTCAGTGACTGTCAAAACGATACACCTGAAAATGTCTTTTTGCCATTGTGGCGGAATCGAACAACAGGTTGAACCGAGGCGTGCGAGCCATGGGAACGAGAGCAGAAGGCAGCCAGTTGGACTGGTAGAGTCAGCTTGCAAAACACTCAAAGGAGGTGAGCAGTTACTGTGGCTAAGAACTGTTGTGATTTCCAGGCGGTGCTGCTTTTGTCAGTTAACACGGACAACATCGGCCCATTAAAGCCAATTTTCCCCACTCAGGAACAACTACAGTGGACCAACGCATTATAGAAGAGAAAAAAAAAAACTCTTTACATACTCTCTGTACATTTGGGCGCAGCAGAGCGACCTCTCAGTGTCAACGTGTGCTCTTGTTTGTTTAGGCAGTTTTCATTGTGCATTTCTGGAGTTTTTAACTATGGATACAGAACTGAATTCTTTTGCTTGTATCTCGAAATATGATCTAATATTATTATGAAATTTCGTTTTGGCATTAACCATGACTTGACTTGGGTACACCTTGTTCAGACAAATAATATCCACACCCAGGTACATTAGGGTGCTTAAATTTGTGTCGGTAAGTAAACGATCACTTAGCGAGCGTCCACACCCAACACAAAGCCACCGCTTGATGAGGGCATGACTTTCAAGTTTTATATACAAATGCTGCTCCTTTTTTTTCTTTAAGCGCAGTCATTTTCACTTGAAATGTGTCATTCTGCTTAACTGACTTTGATCATCTGTTATATTGATGCCTCACTGCAATTTACTTACTTTGCAAGAATAAAAAAATCTCGAGAGTTACAGAATAAAGACAGAATGCACAATTAGTCAATGCATTGAAAACTAGCTGAAAATAAACGCGACAGTAATGTTAACATTCAATGATAGATCCTTAAATTGAATTCATTTTGACTTCAGCAGTTCTGGTCGTTGTCCATACTGTTGAGAAGGCCAGATTGGTTTACACCATATCTTAATTACATTTATTATGATTAGAATCACTCTAAGGGGGGATTCTATTTCACACACTGCTGTACTGTATATTTTTGGAGTTGCACATCACACAGAACCAGATCACACACATGCAGGCATGCCAAGAGAGATGCCAGAGTGGAAGGGGTGTTCAATGCAAACAGTCCCGCATCTCTTGAGCTGAGGGAGATAGTGGATGCCTTGCTCATTTGCCATTTTTACATTTGTCTGCAGGCAGGACTTGAACTGTTGTTACCATCAGGTTCCTAAGCCCAAAGTCCTTCCAAATGAATGAGCTACTGCCACCATACAGTAAAGGGATGTTTACAAAGGGAAATATTTGCTAAAGGTGATAAACCTTTACGTACAGCAGGGGGCGACAAACGTCACGGTGACGCAAAGTAGTCGAAAATAGCACGAAGAAGAAATTACAGCAGTCATGTAATGTTAACATGACCAAGGTTGTCAACATTTTGTAGGAGCTACACATAAACACCTTGTGACAAAAACAGCCATATCCTTATGGTAAGACAAACTTTCCGACTCTTCATTATCATCGCGATAGTTCTGAGACCTAACCGAGATGCTTTCGTTAGCTAACGAGCAATAACGGCCTGAATGAGAAGCTCACGCTATGGGACGATTAAAAAAAAAAAAGTGTCACAAATAGATCACATGACGCCCTGTTGGGTCGACTGTTCAGTTTATGCCTGTCCATATTAAAAATATATACATACTGTTTCATTAAGAGAGTATATTTTGTTCAAAAGCCACTACACGTCGTTGTTCGACAACTCACGCGAGATGTTCCTCTTGACTGCGCATTGATATCTTCACAGGTAGAGATGAGCGTCCACTGCGTCGTGACGTCCGCTGGCCGGAGCTTCTCTTCATCGTATCCCGCCGCTGGCCTCCTCCGCCTTCTTCTACCTGCCCCCTGCTCCATCACACGGTGAGTCCACTTAATTACTTTTATTCTCAGTTTTAGTGTTATTGACCCAGACGTTCACTTCCGCACTTACTTTCCAAATTGCTAAATGTCAATGTTTACAAACCTGTATTGAGGGGAAAAAAAACGAACATATTTTACATTAGGTAAGTATCACAGCACACCACCACATAAAAAAGGTCACAAAAAGTATATCCGGTATACACTGAAATACTGTCTGAATTTATGCTCTAGCTTTGTCCAACACAAAGCTAATATACTGGCACAACTTGAAAAAAACAGTGCTTACTTATTACCCCGTGACAGCATTCAGTAGAAAAAGTATTTGTTTTGTGAAAGTCATAACTTGTCACAGCTCCTATATTGGATCATTGATGACAACAAGTGCAATGTCCCTTTTTATTTTTAAATTAGTCATCTATGATTCTGTCTTGAAGACGTAACTACCGACTGCATTTTTTTTTTTAGAAGAAACATGTCCTCCAAAAGACAAATGGACCATCTTGAGAGGACGGCAACCAACCAAAGACAAAGCGTAAGATGCTATAATTGGCCTATGGATGAAATGTAACTTGCAGATTAAATGCTTCATCCTTGAACCCTACACGCAGGCTGTTTATCCTGCTCAAGTATGCGGCATCATGAACGAGTCGGAGTCTGTAAAACGTCTCAGGTTAACAGCTCATCCGGACTTCAACTTCAAGGCGGGACAGTGGTGAGTAGAGACTCAGTCCCCCTAAAAAACAAAAAAAACCTGCAGTGTTTGTTTTAATCGTATTTACTGTCGTCCACAAATAGTAACCAACTTTGGAGGAGTAACTATTGCTTCCGACTGATGTATTTCAAGGTCTGCAGTGCTTTTATACAACAGGTGGGGGCAGTGTTTCATTCACCATGGCACACAAGGTTGCTGGTTACATTTTTTTCCCCCCCAAGGAAAGGTGAACTCAAGCCAGCATGTTTTTGAAAAAAAAAAAATAAAATAAAATCAACGTTTATAAAGGAGCCCTTCAGCCCCATGTACAAAGCATAACTTAAAAAGGGAAGGTACACATTATTTAATGCTACCAGAGAAATTTGTTGAGGTAATTGTCGTATTTTATTGGTGATGACCAAATGTGTGCATTCCGTGCTACAGCTGTATCGACAGATGCCTTCACGGATAAGAATAAGAGCAAATTACCAATTTCTGAATAAACAATTTCTGGCTTCACGGGGGTGCGCGTCTGTCAGTCAGCTCTGCCAATGGTAATGAGCAGAACGCATACACCAACGAGCACATACTCTAGGTGGGCGGCGGCGAGATCGAAAAACCCAGCAGCCAGTTCCCCTGCAGCGCTTGATAATGAATGTAAATACATGGAAAGCTTCGGGTTTGTGAGGGAAAAAAAAAAGGAGCTGTTAAGTTGTTCGTCTCCAGGTGGTAGAAGAAGAGGCCGAGGAGGTGGTGGGCGGAACTTACATGTTCTTTTCACAGCAGATCCATATTCATGACGCAAGAGTTGGAGTTAAACAGACGGTCATTGTTTGCCTGCCGCTATTGTGTCCCCCTCTGGGTCACGTGTTGAAGGACGCCGTGTCACCACTGTTTTAAGACCGGCACGCTGCATTTTTTTGTTTGGCCGCTGCTCCTTTCTAGAACTGTCATCCTTGCTGAGGTCAAAGGTCACAATCTCCACACACAATCCCACTTTGACCCTCAGCTCAGCATGTTTCTACCCTCCAGTCGAGCTTTGTGTAGCCAATCGAACAGTCAGGCTTTCTCTTGTTCTCCTATTGTGGCGTGGCGTGGCGGCAAGGACGAGCGGGAAGCTTACCAAGCTGTAACGAAAATCAAAGTCATTAATCCGGCTTTGTTGTGCAGGGTGGACTTCTTCATCCCGGGAGTGGACAAGGTGGGAGGTTTCTCCATGTGCTCCAGCCCGGGTCTGCTGCAGAGGGAGGGCGTCGTGGAGCTGGCCGTCAAATTTGCCAATCATCCGCCAGCGCACTGGGTTCACACGGCGGTGAGTGGGCTGACAAGAGTTTCTCAGCTTTGATATAAGACAGTCATGAAACAAAGAAAACAAAACTAACAGAAACTATATCTCACCTTAATAAAACTGAGATTATGAAAATAGAATTTCCCGAAATTCCGAATGGCCTCCATGCCCTCACACTCGGCATACGGCAACCACTATTGCGACATGCAATTACCTAGCTAGTTAGCTCTGCCCACACCATACCCCGAAAATACATCTTGCCATGCTTCGGGTTTGTGAGGGGGCCACTTTAGAGCGAGCAGGGCCACTTTAGAGCGCCTCGTTGTTGGCTGTGACTGCATACACAACACAGGAACAAAGACACAAGAGCGAGGGGGGGCTGCTCGGTCGTATGACATGACAGCCAGTGTGTGGATCATACTCGAGTGCCTCGTTGTGGGATATATTCCAGCATCTGGAGGCAGAAATGCTCACTTTAATAAGAACAGGCTTTTTTTTTCTAATTTCCTCCAAGTTGCTGTATGAAAGTGAACAATGTGTACTCCTAGCTCTTTTCTCGGTTTGCCGGCAGCTCCCGTCTGTGACGGTGAGGATGAATAAACGGTAGTGCGAGACGTGTTTGGAGACACTGTGGGATCCTTTGATCCCGTTTGTTGCTTCAAACCGTTTTCTTTCCTATGAGCTGTAATAGTGCAGCAACTGCACTTCAGTTTCTGGCGAGTGGATGTTTTTTTTTTTTTTTTTTTTTTTGGTGTACGTGTTTGTGCTCAGGATCAGATGTTTACCAAAGTATATTTACTGCTTATTTAACATCAAAAGACTTCCTCAGTGTAACCTGCCAAGCTGTCATCACAGCTTGTGGAGCTGCAGGTTTGGTGTGCGTACGCACACGCTACCTGGTATAGATCAGTGGCTCGCTCTGATCTGAGCCTCAGTGTGTGTTTTTGTTGTCATATCGCGGGCAAAAAGGTCAGCGCAGGAGTTAAGCACTCGTCTGTCTTTTTGTTTTGTGCGTATAACAGCAGTGTCAGACTTGTTTTCATCACGGGCCACCTCATAGGTGCCGTTGCCCTTAGGGGGCCAATGACAACTGTGAAACCGCAAATATATACTAGTAATCGTAGATAGGAGAAAGTGTCTTCCCAAAACGAGAGAAAAAAGCATTTAGAAGTAAGGAGGCAATAACTCTCTACTGTTTCCTCCCACAGTGCACATTGGGCTCTCAGGTGGCAGTGCGCGTCGGCGGCGACTTCTACTTTGACCCCTCACCTTCGGACCCTGCCGTCGATCTGCTGCTGATCGCCGGGGGCGTGGGCATCAACCCCTTGTACTCCATTTTGTCGCACACGGCCGATTTGCTGCAGGTCAACCGAGCATCTGGCGGGCGAGGCTACAACATCGGCTCAGTCCACCTCCGCTACAGCGCCAAGACCACAGAGGAGCTGCTCTTTAAGGTGTGACCCGTCAGATGCTGGAAAGCTTATACAAAACATTTTGGGGGGGTTGTTGATGTGTGCGTACTAACAAGTGAACTTGTATCTTACCTTCTGCTTCCCAAGAATCCGATCCTGCGGGCGTGCAGGGAGTTTCCGGACAAGTTAACATGTCAATTCCATGTCACCCAGCAGAGCACAGACATTGAACCGCATCTTCAGCCTTTTGTCAATCGTAAGTAATATACAGTAATTAAAAGCGAACCCGTGACATGTCCCACAGTATTAAGAGTTAAACCGTAAATATACAAAAGCTACAAATAGAGTTTGAGTTTTTCAACAAGGAACTAAGGATAGGTTAAAAAAAATGCATAGCGAACCATAAGGGGTTCATACTGTCCACAAGCCTATCTACCGTACTTTTTTTTTCCTCAAGACATCAAAAGTAAATTATAACAAGCATAGTTGGCTCATTACTCTTCATCAAGCAGATTCAATTCAGCCTAATACGACGTTTACAAAATAACTGATCTGCAGTCGGCCGTTTCTCATGAGGGATGGACATATGACTACATTTGTTATACTCTCATTGTATGAGAAAACGGCCGCTTTTATGTGACGGTTATAGAACGGGAGGAATACACAATGTTCTTTATCTTCTTGGAACAAACAGCCAAATGCGTAGAAAAGTTAAAAAAAAAAGAACAGAAATCTCCTTGTTTTAAAATGGGCAATGTTCTGCTATGATTACAATCCTGACCTAGAGCAACCCACGTTAAGGGGGCGGGGGACAAGTTATTGAAGATACTGTATATGCTTGAAGCAGACACTCTGACAAAGAATGCCGCTCTCTTCATAATCGATCGACTTTTGTTCCTAGGTCGGAGAATCGCAGAAGAAGAGCTGCGGACACACGTGGACCCCCAGAGGACTTTGTGTTACTTATGTGGACCTCCGCCCATGATTGAGGCAATTTCCCAAACCCTCGTGAACCTTGGCCTACCGCAAGACAGAATTCTCTTTGAGAAGTGGTGGTAGCTGCGCCTACCTTCTCCCGGAACGCCACAGTGTTGTTTTCCGGGATCCTTTTTTCTATTTTTGAGCTTCTTGATACATTTGCGTGGTGAGAGTTGAAAAACAACAGAATTACTCCAGTGACGTGGAACTTGATGTGCAGCCGTGGAAGTGCTCGGTCGGCCCTGTCGGAACCTGCGCATTGACCCACAGGAGCTGACGGTACTTTCATTTCATTTCATTTCATCTGTGAAGATCCAACATGTTTTTAGTCACCCCGCGGGGCTGAGATTTATTGACTCAAAACAGGTGCAATCTCATTTGTCGTTCAGTCATTCCGGACAAAGGCAAATGTTAACGCATTACGCCAGTGGTTACATTTTAGGCTGTAGTTTCGCATTTTTTGAAAACTATTTTGCAGTAACACTTTACGTGTAGTCTGACATATAAACAGTTTCATTTATATCCCTATTGTGTGGTTGAGTGCTCATCTACAATTTACACCACTGAGTACATAAATCGTTGCCTGCCACATGTTGGCCGATTGTCTGTTTTGATTTGGCATCGGGTTACACACGAGCAACATTACATGGCTCGGTGAGAAACCCACAGCGTAATTGTAATGGAGATTCCAGGTGGTCCCCGATTGGTCCGCATCCTTAAACCCCCCGCGGAGATCGTAGCGAGTGTCTCAGTGGGGCTGCCGTTGTCGCTTCAATTGAGTTGTTCCACGAGGGAAATGCTTTAAGCTGTAATGTGATGATTGAATGAAATAAATGACAGCGAAGCTGCGTGAAAGGCTTAATTCACTTCAGCTTTTATGTAAATACATGTTGAACACAGCACACGTGGTGAAGAAAATCAGAAATAAATAACAGTGTACACAATTCCTATTTTACAGAGTCCATTTACCCAAATACACTCAACTGCCATGATGACAACAGGTACACTTGCACATTTGAGTGAGAGCCATTGCAAGAGCTATTTTTTTTAATTTTTATTTTCTGGATCCAGCTCTTATTTAAATTCCAGAAGTCTACTGAAAGCAGCTGGTCTAGTAAATATACACATCTCCTTAAGCTGTGGTGCCGAATTATTTATATCAGTGGCCACATCTGATTTATCGGCCGCTGAAATAAAAAGTTGAGATGGAAAAGAACATTTCGAGAAATAACTGTTCTCTGAACAGCTTTGGCATCTCCTGGTAACCGAAAGATTACACTGTGCTTGCAAAAATGTCAAATACTTAAACCCTAATAAAATGCCGTGAGAAGAATTCTCTACGTTGGCATGGATGTGAGTTCCCTCAAAACGCTTCACACGAGTTCAATCACAATACAAGGTAAAGTATTTTGTCTCTCACTTTGGGTCATGTGACCTCAAGTGTCGCAGTATATAAAGTAGACTGATTTACATCCAACAATCCTCGCAGTGACATATCCTTGTGGAACAGAGTCTCAAATATTTAAGTTGCAAACTAGGCAACAGAACGGACGAAAAAAGCTTGGCTATGTTGACCTCGTATCTTAAAAGGACATCAAGAAGCAACAGTGACCCCGAAAAAGCAGCCAAGTACACAACACGAATTCAGATTTATGAAATGTTTTTGTCTGATTATGACTACAGCTAGATAAATAATTGATTTCCAAACTGCTGCTCCAGATGATGTACTACGTACCATAGTTGCGTGCTATTGGATCCTAATATTTTTGTACAGTTTTCATGGTTTCTATAGTTATGGTGGTATTCACTTGATTTTTTTTTTGGGGGGGGGCAGCAATTGGAATCACTTTTGGGCTGCCCGTTTGTGGCAAATGCATCAACAGACACCGGAAAAGAGTTGATGTTTGATCAGCTCGTCTGACTTTACCTCCTCTTTCACTCCTCCGCCGTCCCTGTGACACACGTCTGTCCACCTCACCGACTTTTCCCGCTTGGATGTTAGAATACTGTCAATATCCGTCTCCTCTTCCTCACCTTCAACAGACGCCAGGCTGCCCGAGAGGATGGAGAGGTCCTTTTGATGTGCGTCCTCCTCGCGCCATCCTTCCGTCCTTCCTCCGGCCCAGCTCCTCCCGAGCTCGACATCGTCCTCTTTTATGTGTCTCAACTTGCCCATCTCTGTCTCCGAGACCAGGGACCTGTCCTCGCCCTCCTCAAGCATCTCTCCACATGAGTGTTTTTTTGTCTTGTGGCGACCTCGGAGGGCGAGCATCTGAAATAAAATGCAGGCGTTTGACAGATTTCAGCTCTGTGCCTCATCTTTTTTTTTTTTTTTTGTTCTCCCGTTCCCTGTAGACACCTGACAAAATGCAACAAAGCCGCTCGCTGATGATTGTTTCTGAGCACTGCGAGGCAATTTGCCTATTATTAGACTCTGTTTAATTGTATATTCCATATTTAGTAACAAGATTCGATAAAGGCACCTCGTGGAACGTCGAGCCACACTTAGGAGTGACAGATTTGTGGTAATGATGGAGCATGCCGCCAACCTTGAAGTCTTTTCTCTTGCGCTGCAAAACAGGTCTCTGAAGGAAGAGGATTTGCTTAGTCGACAACCCCCACCGAGAGCTGTAGGGGGGGGGGTGGGGGGGTCTTTTATTCCTTCAAGCTAGAATGTGAGGATGCATTCAAAATTATTTCTTTTGTTCAATGCGTTTTGAAACACGACAGGTTACAAGGCGATGAGATCAGCCGAGGCGCTTTCGGCTGACAGATTGAAAAAGTGGTTTCATGTTAAGACATCCAGCATATGATCTGGGTTTGTTAGATCTCGCACCACCTGTATTGCGATTTGTTAGGTAGGTCTGTCAGCCCCAATCCTTATAAAGACTGAGGCAAAACACTGCACAATGAAACATTGTAGTCCTCATTAGGAACGTTAAAAATGAGGCGTATAGTTTTAGTTTGCTGCTGTACCATTTTTTAAAAATAGAAATATGACAAAAGTTTGGCACGGGTTATTGTACATACTCATGGTGGGAAGTGAACGGCTGCTCCCAGCATATCAATCCGGAAGAAATTGACTGATGATTTTTAAACAACAAAAACAATAATGAACCCCACATGTGCAGTCTATCAACATGGGAACGCAAACACAAATGTTAAAAAACATTTTTTTTTCCCCCACTGAGTCTAAGGTCCATTTACCAAGGACGGTTTTAGGCCGCATCCAATAATATTGCGCCATCCTTTGAAAACAAAACAACAAATTATGCTCTTATTCGGAAAGACGGTGCAGCACTTCTGGAAACAGCAGTTGTCTTCTTTTAGGCCTTTTGAGGTTTTGGCTCTCTGCCTTTTACTTTGGCTATTTATGTTCTGTTTTTTGTTTTTAGCCTAATGGTGACCTCATCAATTCAGTTGACACGAAATAGCTTGTACAGTCGATTAGTGAAGCAGCATCTGTACCTGTTGGTCTTGACGATGGGTGTGGGTAAGACACACATGAGCCTCCATCCATAGGGAGCAAGGGACTGCAGCAGCGGGACGTAGTCTGCCTTCACCACCACACCCTGGCCAGGAGGGGGGGTAAAAAAAAAGTCAGCAAAGACACAATATACAAGCATTCAACTATGCCACATACATAATCTGTCGCAATTTAGAATGGATATTTATCTAATTACATGAGGAAAAAATAAGATGAAATAAAATGCATTGTATTTAACCGGAGCATTGATTCCTTATTTTTGGGTGGTGATGACTATGATGTTCTAGTATGCTTATCCTGACATTTTTTTTTTTTTTTTGCTTTCTGGCAGTGTGGCAGACCCAGCACTACATGATTCTTTTTAATCAAACAAGTCCAAAGGACACACTGGGGATTGCTCAGCCTTGGCAGAGGCCTGTGTCAAGCTCATCATTTTTGTCAAGGCAGGTTTTTGTTTTTATCATGGGTGTCATTGTATCGTGCGAGCGTAGCTAATATTGGAATAAAGCGGAAAGAAACACAGTCGCAGAAAATATGTGTCACCGTGGTGGAAACATGAAGGAACTCACATTGATGACAGTCCACTGCTCGACCACAATGGCATCGTAGGACGTGCTTGTGGTCTCCTCTGTCGAGTTGTGGAAAATAAACACACTGTCTACAGATGAAACGCCATTCTCTGGAGAGAGAAATACAGTAAGATTGAGATCCGAGTAGCAAGGGGGATTCGGAGCTCAACCCACTCTTTGTCATGAACCGGCTTATTTATTCCGAATGTGGATAAAAACTCTTTTCCAATGTCTCCCATTGTGACTGACCCTGTGGCGCAACAACTGCATCTCATGTTGCGACATGACAGCCAATTACAGACTCGGCAGCCAGAGCAGCAAACAACAGTATTGAACAAAAAAAAAAAAAAGGACTATACAGCATATACAAACTCTTTAAAAAAATAAATAACGTACAAACACTAAGAGAAATGTACTCCGATCCATGCCTCGCTCCAAAGTTAGCTTGAAGCTAGCCTCCCTGTGATTCTGTTTCCCATATTTCCTATTCTTTTTCCCCAATAACAACAAGTCCAATAACTTCCCAGAATGGATTGCCTATTGTACTTTACCGTTCTCGTCTCTGAGGTGGAAAAAGCCATCAACGAGCTGCGCGCCATTGGTAAAATGCTGAGTCATGTGGTCGAGCCAATCGCCGTCGACTTCTGTCACGAGCCCCGCCTCCTTTTGAACGCGCAAGGGCACCCGAAGCGAGTAGAACCTCAAGGATGTGTTGAGTTCCCCCGTGGAGTTGTATAAGGCAAACAGTTGGAGCCCTACATGGGACCACGCAGATAAGATGGATGATATGTATGATATTATATAAACAGGAAGTGATATCAAGTTACTCACGAGCCTGTGCTGGTACATCCTTTCCTGTCTCAGAGTTCTTCACACAAATGTGGTTGTTGTTCCAAGTAAGGTCTGAGGCGGTTTCTTTTCGGTCTGGCCGACCTGAAGGTTTGGAATGCCTCTCGGGGGATTCTCGAGGGTCCGGTGGACGACACTCCTCTTGTCCGTTTGTACTCAGCCTTTCCGAACTGGGCGGCCTTTCTTGGTGAACGGAGGAGTCTCTGCGATACGAAGGTTGGCTCGTTGCGGCAAGTGACTCTCTGAGGGGGATCCGAATCCATTCGTTAGATCCCTTTCGGTTGACTTCTGAAGGGAAATCTGCTTCTGAACTCAGTGAGGGCTTGTGATCCCGCGTCGTATGTTCCACACTTTCATGAGGGAGCTCTCGAGGTTCAAAGGGGAGGCCCCCCGGCACCGAGTCATCACGGCGCGAGTCTGAAGGATCCGTTGGGCTGGATTTAGCGCTGGGGGGGTGTCGGTGAATGGGAGAGGGGCTGGAGTGCAAGGACGACAACTCATCGGGGTCCCAGTTAGCCGTGAAGCAGGGGGCCCCTCCCGGCTGCTGGAGAAAGCCCAAAAACATCACTCCTTGCTCTGCTACATCCTGGATCTGGAGGAGGAGAATAAGACAGTGACATTGGGGGGGAAAACATTTTTATGAAAATGAAACCATCAGACAAATTCACCACATGGACAAAAGTATTGGGACAAGCGATAATAGCTTCCAGTGGGATTTCGTGTCATGACGTCAGATGTGGCAAAGTGAGGAAAATCAAAACACCATCGAAAAACTGTACTGTTTGACTTTATCAAATTCAAAACACTTTTTTTATTTTTGAAATAGAGTATCAGTAATGCTGTTCACATTCATCAGTGGAAATAGTGTAATACTGGGCCCTTTAAGTTCCCCTCAGATCGTAAAAATAAAATGACAACATGAAAGCAGTTACATGTCTCTAAATGAGCGTAATTCAGAGTTTAATGCATCATTGAGCCACCTGATTTTCGGCAACCTGCATCAATCAGACTTGGCTGAGTGACGTACGTTTCTTGTCGGTCATCTGATCAAGCCGTTGCGTTCATAATCCAAGGTTGCCTTCGCTCGGCAGAGACAGCGGAATGCCTTTCCCCTTCGGCGAGCTGTGTCATTACCCATCAGAGAATACTTGATTTGAAGGCCAATAGAGATTCTCATTATAAGCAGAAGTGGGGAAAAAGCACTGGACTAAGTCTCTGTACCTTAACAGAAGGACAGATGCTGTGGTAAAAAACCTCCACCACAAAATAGCCTTGCACACACTTTTTCAATTGTTCAACTGAATACAAAACTGGCCCAATCATGAAAACAACAAAACATATCCAGTATTTGGTGTTTCTCTCATTTCTTTCATAAGAAAAGGCAATATTATAGATTGAGACCTTCTCGACAAATCATGGATTAAACTCACCACACAGCACCTCGTAAGAGCTTTCATTTTCTTCACGTAGGATTTTCATCCCCTATCATGTTCTTTCAAACATTGAGAATAGAATGTCATTCATATCACGTGAATACGCTGCACAAGACATCAGTCACGGCGACACAATTCTATTCACCATTTATACGCGGCCACGATATACAGTATTCTATTTAGGTGACACGAGAGCCTCATTTACACCCGCACAAAGGCAGAGATTGGTATTCAGCTGAATTAGAACCATGCTAATCATGTGCAAAGATCAAATATTGAAATGACAAAGGGACCTCATCTGTGCCCATGCGCATGTGTGTGCGTGCATGTGTGTGTGTGTGCGTGTGTGTGTGTGTGTGTGTGTGTGTGTGGGTGGACGGGCGGGGGTTATCAGTTGATATTTGAGCTGACAGGCTTGACAGAAGCGAAATCAGCCTGCAAACTCGAGCGGAGCAATAATGAGACGCATCTTCCCCACTTAACACACCTTGGTCACACCTCATTCGTTCATACCTGTGCAATGCGCACACAGTATGTGTGTATGTTACAACCCCCCCATAAAAAGCTGCACATTAGCGCATAAAAAATGTACAACTGAGTGGCGACAGCTTGAGAGTGGGAGGCCTGGCGAGTGCTCGCAAAAGAGAAGATGACAGAATTGAACACGCACGCGGCACACAATCAGTTTGGATGCTTATCTTGAACCCTCCTGCTTCTCTCATCCGATTGGCTATTCACATCACGCCGCTGGAGCCGATCACATTAGACTCTGTGATGCGCCATTTGCCATCCAATCAGGTTTCCTTTTGTGTGCGCTCTTTGGGCGTTCAGATGCAAATCTTCTCAATAGAGCACATTTTCATTTCCCATTGTTGGGTTGGGGGGGGGGCGAATTTATAAGCAGGGGAGAGAGCAAAAAGCGGTGTTAGCCAGGCGTCTGAAGGGTTAAGTCAAACGCGTTCACTATTCATGAAATAGTGACAGGTGCAACAAGTGGGAATGTTGCCTTGAATAGTTTTGCACTAAAAATTGGATGACAGAAAACCCAGCTCCGTCGTGGGCTCCAGGTTTGTCGTCGCGCCATCTTGCATATTTTCTTTTGTCCAGTTTGTAAGGTGATCAAGTTAAAAAAAAAAAAAAAAAAAAAAAAAAAGACGGGCAATGATGACGAACCAAGTACCTAATGTTTTACAGTAGAACTCCTCTACAACGAAATCATGTTTGCACCCAGATATTTTTCACAACAGGGGACTTTTCTCTATAGCAAATTTTAATCTTAGACGTAAACACAAACAAAAAACATATAAGTCTACTCTTTATTTTTATTCCAATAGTGCATAAGTATGATGTTAGAGGAATCTATGGGCGAAATTGTATCATGTTTAAAGTCTCGTTTGATCTGGGCACGTCAAAGCATCTGGGTGCGTTATCAGCACCCCCAAATTCCTTTTCAGAAGGTGCCGGCCATTTGGGCTGGGGGCTGTTGCAGCCCACACCACAATCAACACATCAAAGCGGGTGGGCAATCAGAGGAGATCAGATCCGGTCACAAAGGGGGAGCGAGTAATTTGGGAACAGCGGTCGAACAACAAAAGACG